AATGCCTAGGTCTATTTTACGTTGACTTTAATTGTGTCTTATTCACAAGTTTAAAATATCCAGTCAGACTCTACTCAGGTTTTGATTGTTGTTTTTATTAATTCTTCCCAAATACAACATTGATTGTGATAACAATGCAAAACAAAGAAATCAGGCTTATCCTGCCCAAGAATCAGATTATAAATATATTTTAGAATTATACCCAAGTATAATAAATAATTTAACTAATTAATAACCAGTGGAGTAGTTTAGATTCATTCTCTTTTTCCCCTCTCCCCAGATTGGGAGTGTAAAGAAAGGAGAAATAAATACTCCTGGAGGAAAGGAGAGTCAGAAAGACCCCACAGAATGCATAAGTCTTGAAATGAATCTTGAGTGACGCAGCAGTGTTTACCAGGTGGGTAACAGTCTGTGTGCATGTGTGCACCTTTTCACGAGCTCCATCTCCTCAAGTTAAAAAGGAAAGATTAGGGTTGTGGAAACTGAATGACTATGTATTATTTGGAGTAAGTCACTTTGGGCACATCTCTTGACCTCCCAACTATGACCCTTACGTCCAGTGTAGCATCTCATGAGGGAATAGGTCTGTCTAGTATGTGTCCAATGTTGATTCATGAAGACAGGTTGTGCAAGCATCGTGTTGCAGTTGTACAGTTATTTACTCATTACTCTAATTGTTACCATACCACATTCACTGGAACTAGTCGTCAATTAACAGCACTTCTAACCTTGTCAGAAAAAGGTAGATAACGTCACACCATGAATGGTTTTAAAAGAAATGATAGGAGTGGAAGAGGAGACAGAAACTAGGAAAGCTAAAATTTTACAGGACAAAAGGACAATATTTATTTGAAAATTTAGTAAAATACAGAATATCCACCTCCAAGTAGGCTCTGAATAATTTGTCATATTAAAACTTATTCCTCCCAAGTTACCACACTTTTTTTTAAAAGGATGCTTAAGTAAAAAATTCATATGACTAAAGAAATTACTTTTAATGAAATCTAACAAAAGACTTTATGAATACTTTTTTTATGCTCTATGGCTTTACCTATACTCACTTCCCTGAAACATTCCTTCTTAGATGTAACTTTGGTTAACCTGGATTTTGTTTTAATAGTACTTGTTAAAATCTGCATCTCTCTCTCTCTTTTTAAAAATTATCTGACATCAAAGCATTTTTACTGAAAATCCTCATCAACTGCTGTTTGTTTCTCTTTGGGAACATCACCAATCCCCCTGGACCTAAGCAACCTTAGCAGGATATATTCCTTTCCCATGTTCTCCTATTTTATTTCCTGCAGTGTCTGATGTAAAACAGATTTTAAAGTTCATAATAGAACAGGGGTCAACATGAAAGACTCCAGGATCCTGGCCTTTGGTTTTGCTTCTGGTCTTTATTATTACAACAAATAGTTAGTTGAACTATTATTTTCCATGTCATATAAAAACATTAGAATGACAGTTCTTTCTTTTTAATCCTAGATGAGGATTTTCAAAGGAATCTCAAATATGTGAGAACAGGTATAAGGAAAAAATATGATAGTAACACAAAGTAACCAAAAGGAACTGTGACGGTCTTAATGTTCCTAAATCTGGGAAGCAACAAGTATACCATTTAACTCCCTGCTCTTATCCTTTCCTGTTTTGATCCAGAATAGTCTTCAAATAGTCTAAGGCCAATCCTTCCACCTGTGGTTCTGATTCTGTTTTCTGTTTCTTCATGTGGGAACATACATTTTTTCTCTCCTACGTAATCAACCTTTAAACATGGCCCAGTCTCATCCATTTCAAAACAACACCCAGTCTTGCCCCATCTCCATAGAACCCACAGCATCCACCTACCCCTCTTCTCTCCTCCACAGCCAAACTTCTCCATGGATGGTCTATTCTCACTCCATTTCCTTGCCTTCCTCTCCCTCTATAACCCATTCCAGTCTCCTTCTACCAGCATTATACTACCAAATAGCTCTCACTAAAGTCATCAAATCCAACGGCCACTTTTCAGGGTTCTTTTTTTTTAAGATTTTATTTATTTATTTGACAAACAGAGATCACAAGTAGGCAGAGAGGCAGGCAGAGAGAGAGAGGAGGAAGCAGGCTCCCTGCTGAGCAGATCGCCTGATGTGGGACTTGATCCCAAGACCCTGAGATCATGACCTGAGCTAAAGGCAGAGGCTTAACCCACTGAGTCACCCAGGCACCCCGCCCAATATTTTTAAAAGTACATGGCTAATGAGGAAGGACCTACCCAACTAGATTTTAAATATAATGCAAAACTTCGAAAATCTATTCAGGTTGTCAGTGTGGGACTTGATCCCAGGACCCTGGGATCATGACCTGAGCCGAAGGCAGAGGCTTAACCCACTGAGCCACCCAGGCACCCTTCAGTGTTCTTTTTAACAGCAGTCAACTGAGAAGGGCCCACCTTCTTCTTGAAATATTCTCATAGGGGACATCAAAATCCTATAGGAAATTACTAATCTCATATCATCCCTGCAGATCTATCCTTCTCACCCTCTCCCAAGTCCTTCCTTTCTTCTCCCATTGTCCTCTCCTAAATCTGAGAAATTGTAGGCTCTTCTACTATACCATTCTTTGGGATTTGAAGATATATAGTCCGTAGAAAGAGAAGGAAAACAATAGAGGGGCTCAAAAAGTATTACAGAGGAAGAGAGTCTTGAGCCAGTTAGAATGTTTGTAGCTACAAATAACAGGATATCTAACCAAAGTAGTTGAACAATGAGGGATGTAGTATTTCTTATGACAAGAAATAAAAAGTGGTGGTTTCCAGGATAGCAAATTCAACGAGATCAGCACAGTAATGATTTCCACACCTCCAAAAAGCTTCCCTTAAAAAGCCCAAGGTGGTTGGTGCAGCTTCAAACATGTGTGATCACAATGACAACCGAACAAAATCACATAAAAAATAAAGAAATGGAAAAAAGAGATACCAGGATCATGCTATACCAAAAGAAATGTTATATAACAATATCAATATCAAGTGCATTGGCACAGATTCTGGAATAAAATCCCTTGAGTTTGAATTCTAGATGTTAGGTGTGTCACCTTGAACAAATTACTTAACCTCTCCGTGCTTCCATTGCCTTTTCACTCTGACCAACTGATTCTTACAAAGGTCAGTCACAACACATAGCAGTATGCAGGTGACCCTGGCCTGAGAAGAAGAATACCACAGCCTCTGGGCCAGAAGTCAGGCACACTTACCTGAGCCAGGCCAATTAGAACCTTCACCAGGATTATTTACAGGAAAGCCAGGACGAAGATCATCTTCCCTCTGGAGCTACTAAACATGCCAAAACTTAGGGGCGCCTGGGTGGCTCAGTGGGTTAAAGCCTTTGCCTTTGGTCCAGGTCATGATCCCAGGGTCCTGGGATTGAGCCCCTCATAGGGCTCTCTGCTCAGCGGAGAGCCTGCTTCCTCCTCTCTCTGCCTGCCTCTCTGCCTACTTGTGATCTCTGTCAAATAAATAAATAAAATCTTTAAACATGCCAAAACCTCACTCCACTCCCTACCTTTATGATACAAAGGAAGCTTTTGGAACTGAAGAGAGAATGTGGCCAGAATTTAGAGAAATGCTAAAATGAGAGCTGAAGAGAACAAGGAAGTCTAGTTAACACTGTTAAGAGTTTAGCTCTACCTTCCCATTAAGATGAGCCACAATTCATACTCTTTTTGGTTTCAGCTAGAAGCCAAGATTAAGCTACATTAAGAAGGATTTCATTTGCTTACAGAGAATAGTCCTTGTTCGCTCTATATTTCATGGTACAAACTGGTTGTAAACTATAGTTTTTAGCTCCAATAGACACAGTAATCTAATTCTTTCATATGTGTTTGAATTTTGAATGCCCCTTCTCTGAATTTGGAACATCCCCTGAAGCTCAAGGAATATGGACCAAAAGGGAGAAGTTGGACAGTTTTAATTAAATAATATGAAAATAGGTCACTGGCATTATCCCTGAACACAAAATCACATTAATCACTTAGCATTGTGCCTGGCACGTAATAGGTGTTCAATAAAGACTTATTCCCCCTGGTAAAAACTTAAATTTAATACCAAAAAGAAGTAGTCCCCATCTCCAAAACATGTACAAATGTCATTAGTCTCCTCAGTTTGAAACTTTAATATTTGAGTTTGATGATAGGAAAAATGGACATCTTTTCTGGTCTTCTTAAATTGAAGAGGCTATAAATTCTTTCTTCTTAATTTCAGAATTTGTCAGTATATGTGCCTGGCTTAATATTTTATGTAACTACTTTTCCACCGCAAGTTTATTTTACTATTTTTTTTAAATACACAACCTTTCAAATTTACTTAGAATCCTGTCACAGAGCATCATAAAGTTTGGATCATTTATAGAATATATTCAACTCCTTACTACAGTGCCCTATTAATACATAAAAAATATTCATGGACATACTGGACAGAGAGAGAGAAGGGGGGAGAAGAAAATAGTATGAAATAAATTTGAAATTGAGGACTTTGAAAAATACAATATTTATTTAAAAGTACACAATGAAAAAATGTTCCATGAGTGTGTTCCTCATAAGCTCTCTTTAAATTTCATCCCACCCCAAACAACAACGACATCTCAAAGAAGAAATCCTAAGACCAAAATTGGACTAGGAATCAGTAATTATATAATTTTACTCCTGAATCTGACATCAACTATTCAAAGGAATGATTTGGGATGCATTATATTCTGAACCTCATTTATTCATCTGATTTGGGATATCATAGTTTCTGTAGGTTAAAAAACAAAACAAGCAGATTCTTTATGAGAAGTCAGTGATTTTCATCAGGGCAAAAAACATGCAAAGAAGTTAGGTGAATAATTTCTTTCATCTTTCCAACTTCCTTGTGAGTGTTCTTCTGTTAGGTATTATTAGTAAATAACGGGCTTGCAGTTGTCACTCTTCCAAAGAATATTTTCATTTTGCTAGGAGGGTCAATCATTCGAAGGAACTGGTATCTAACCGTGGGACTTAGGGCCCTACCACTGGGAGACTTCAGGTAAATTAGGGGAATACGGGAGAGATGAAAAAAAGAAGAATCTAGGTTTATCCAGAGCTCATCCAACTGTAATTAAACATGAATTTTTAGTCAATGACAAATCATTATGAAACTTAAAATCTTGCTTGAGCTTTTCATTAATATCCCCAGCCTATTAACTTTTCCAGTTGGGAATTAGATTAGCTGGCTCTCCCCTCCCCCACTTTCTTTGAAGGAGGGCGGGGCTGTAAAAGGGAGGGGAAGAAAGGTTGTGGTTCTAGCGGGCAGGGCTGGATTTCAAAATCGCTCCTGTAACCGGGGGTTGAATATCCTTGCAGGTATTGGAGGCCATAGAGCTCCAGAAGATCCTCGTACATGGCTTGCTTAGCTTTTACTTTCATTCTGTGTTAAACAAAAAGTCATCTGAGGGCTATTTAATGCTCTGGTTTGTGTTTTCCAATACCAGATAAAAGTTAAACAGATGAACCATTTGGGGGGTAAGGATTGGGAAATCCACGGCTGCTAAAATGCTTTAAAGTTTCAAAATGGTTTTGTTTTTTTAAACCCATTTTCCATGTTCCAGCAGCTGTGGGTTTTCCCAGGGCTCCCCCTGTGGCTCAAAAGGGAGCTGCTTAATGCTTAACAGATGAGCCAATTGAGTTTTTAAATGCAAAATTAAACTTAAAGTGCACAAAGAGCACAGGGGAATCCACAGCCAAGAATAGCTGAAGGAGGAGAGTGAGGCGTATGCACTGGGCTGGGGAGACTCAGCCTTTTTGGAAGCATGCAACTGTCAGCAAGTGGGAGGAGGGTGCGGGCACATTTATCTTTTAATCAGTCTTCCCACAGGCTGCAAGTATACTCCATATTGCTAAGTTTTTCATGACTATTTTCCTTAGATTTATTTACATATGTTTACTCTTTTTTTTTTTTTTTTTTTTTGAGGATAGAAAAAGGGGAAACGAAATAGATGAATGGGCTCTGTGGATTACAAGGACAATTATATTCTGATCTCCATGAGGTTTGTTCTCCCAGGGACAGTGAGAGAATTGGGTCCCCTCAGCATTTTCCCCTCAGATCCTCAGGTGTTTTACGTTGTGGCCCAGACACTCAGCGAGAGATCATCCAGATTCTCAGAACATTCCGCTTTGAATGTGAGGAGCCAAAATAATTGTGGACTTTGGTTGGGACACACCTTGGTGAGTCACTGGATAAACTGATCATTCATCTAAATAGGTGGTCATGAGAAAACAATGCATTATGGTGTTTAAAAATAAGATTTAGCAACTTTTATAAAGTCTTCTCTGATTCAAGACGAATCATCCTTATGCTTTAAAAAAAAAAAAAAATCTCCATTTTACTTGTATAAGTACTTTAACTTAAGAGGCTCCCAACATCATCAGGCCTAAAATTCCATATGCAGACTCTCTTTCACTGAAGGTGATAAAATCATCCGTTGGATTCCAAATTGAGAAAATCTTTGGGGGAATTGATCTCATGATTTCAACATGAAATAAGAAATAAGTACCTTGGCATTCCAGAATAGAATACAGGGAATCCTAGTTGTGTAATGCATTTTAATTGCATTTGAGGAATATTTAAGATGATCTAAAAACATGCTGAGAAATGAATGACAAACCCTCTGTTGTTCAGATCTTGTATTCATACTTGGCTTTTAAGCTAGGAAAACTTGAAAATCCTCTAGTAGCTCACTTTTGGAAAAATCATTTTAAGAGATAGGAAACAAAAATCCTGTTATGCCAGCAGAAATTTCCCACTAGGATACCAAGAAAAGGGTACTAGAAAGTTTCAAATTCACATTTGATGTATCACCAAATTCAGAAATGACTAGTAAGTCACAAGATTAAATAAGCCTAAAAAATACACAAGTACATACACATATGTTTCTGTATGTACATGTACACATACATATGCACACACACATTTCTAACCTTATCTAAAGCTACCTGTTCAATTACAAACTACATTCCTTAGGCATCTTTATCTCTTTCAGACTTCCAAAGTCAAGTTTATTATTTAAGGTTTTGCGAGTTATCATGGCTCACCCTCAACCCCCAGCCAAAAAAAGAACAAAACAAATAAACCAAACCAAAACCAAAACCAAAACCAAACACACACACACACACACACACACACACACACACACACACACACGGAACAACAAACTATAAAAGAGATTATTATTACTTGGTCTTAACCTTTCTGATTATACTCGTCAACTCTTAATCCTTTAATGGAACAATTATTTTACCATAATCATTTAAAGTGTTGATTGTGAAATGGCAACTTCAAAAAGCAGAATGAGATGAATATTTCTACTCTGCATTTGGGAACAGTGTATTCAGAGACTTGTACCTCTTACGCAATCAAATTCACTTGAGTCATTGACTATATCCAGCCTTGTCACTTTGCCCGAAGGAAAGATACTGATGAGGTTGGGCTCCTGTGAAAGCAATCATATGGTTAATTGCTTTAGTGTGAACCTAGCCATTGTGATTAAAGCCTAGGACTCGTGTTTAGGTAGAGCAGGGTTTCCATGCTTCAAGGCACTCCTTGGCAGACCTAGTACTCTCCAGGCCTCGAGAATATGTGCTGAGGCAAGAGCTTATTTCCCAAAGGAGTTGCAGTGTTTGGGGGATCGTTCAATCATTAGACTATTCAAAGAAACCGGGTTAATTTGAATATGTAATCATTGGATCACATATTTATATATTTGCAACGTCTTTGAAAGGGTGATCATCAGAATGCAGATTTAGATAAAAAAGAACATATTTAAAACCTGACATATTCTGTGTTTGAATTTAATGTGAAGCTGTGCGCACCCCCAGAGCATCTCATACCTGTCATCTCATGATTATACATATCTGTATACTCCACGGGTGCACTTTTCATGTATGTAAATTAGAGAATCTACTTCTACTTTTTAATAAAATGGTAAGGCTTATCTTTTCAGAATTCCAAATTTAGTTCCCTCTCATAGAATTTGATTATCAACGATTCAATTACCAGTAATTATCAACACACCTGTAAATGTGGCCCAATTGTTGATAATCAAATACATGTACATGTAGGGATATATACACACATACATGTGCACATATATGTGAATAAATCTCTAGATAAACTTTAATGCATATAACATTTCAAAACTTTTGCTTCGTGCTTTTTTCTCTTTTTGTAAAATTAAATAGAACCCATATAATTATTCCTTCCCTCTCCAGTGAAATGTTGGCTTCAGAGTCCACTTTTTATAAAGAAATTCTAAATCGTTAAGCAAGTAGAATACTACCCCCCTTCTTTTAAATTACCCAACATGTTTTGGGGGCTTACACAAAAATGCACGCTAACATGCATTGATGCATAAAAGAACAGCTTTCCATGTTCTAGTAATTCAAATCCAGCGCCATTTTGAATAGATTTTTAATATACTCATGGGAGTCACACAAGGGTAATTGATGATGATTTCAAATTACTTCCATCTTATTTCTCTTAAAATCTGTCCCATAATCTGTTATCATGGGTGATAATATTCTGTTAATTATATAAAACAATGAAATTTTATTAATTTAACTATATTTTATTGCTCTTCTCTAACCTCATAAAATGACCCCTCTGTATATCAGGTATTTTAGAAACCCTACTTCCTCAGAAATAGATGCAAGTTTTAAGAGTTTAGGAAATATTAACCCAAAGGGGGAGCATATTATGATAGAGTCCTCATCATTTTGTATTGTTCTCCAAACAGTTGCTTTCATTTTCAGGGTGGATGTCTGAATGGCAATAGCGTATGCATCACGTGCTGAGACTGGGAGCATGCAAGCCACGTTTGGCATATAGATTCTGTGTAGGGGAAAAAATGTGACAAAAGCATGCTGCACCGAGCCCTTTATTGCTGACATGGAACTTTCCTCTTAGACCCATCTGACTCATTATTTTCTATCACAGCAAAAATTTCCGCATAGAAGAGTTAAATATTAAAATTGCATGGGAAGTAATAGAGAAACATTAACCTCTATTCCCCAACGCAAAAATCAAATATGCAAATATGAAAATGAGGGGACTCTGCTTCTTCCCCTTCTACAACTGATTAAATTGTCACTGCTGGAGATTACATGGGTTTTATTCCCTTTACAACCATATTCAATTGGACAGACAGAAAAATATATTGCCACAGACGAGACCCACCACCTGGGTACACTCTGCTTCCAGTTGCCTGCAGAGGCCTTGTCCAAAACTTTGCAGCTACCCCTTTGAAAAAAGAAAAGTATTAGATGTGATCATTGATGACAAACTGGCTGATCTCTAAAGTCCTCTCCAGCTTAGAGAATTTAGAAAGACAAAAACTCTCATGACCAGATATTAGCCTGCAGTTTACTTCTCAGGAAGAAAACCCTCACTAGCACACTCCCCTTCTCCCTAGATTCTAAACCACTGCATTCATCTGGCATGAGACCTTCATTTAAACAAACCCCAGCTATCAGAGGCTCTTCTCTTCCTGTGTTTGCAACTGATTTCCTAGCTGATCGATCAATTTACTTCCTTGCTTATCAGTTTTGACACTGAACAGACCCCCTCCCCTTTTGCACACTTGTCTCTTCTGGATGGAAATACTTGATTCTTGCAAAAAAAAAAAATTGGATGTAGAAACGGAAGAATTACCTTTGCTTCTCTCACGTCCTGACGCGGTTCCAATAGGGTTCTCACAGTCTGCTTGCATTTAATAGAAGTTAGTGCTCGGTGACTATGTCTCCTGGCTGTGTCACTCGGCACTGCAGGCTGAGCAGAGAGCTGCCTCCCGCTGCAGACGAGGGCCCTCAGTGTTAAGGGCACACAGAACTAGTTTGTTAATGAGATCCTAGAGATGTAGCCACAGGGACAAGAGGAATTAGCGACTAAAAAAAGGCGATAGGATGATGTTTTGAATTGGAGCATTTGGGCAAAAATCTAACAACAGCAAAAAACCCAACCCATCAAACAGACAAACACAGAAACCAGCCAGCAGATGCTTCATTGCAAGGACAAGTGAACAGGAACAAGTCTATTTGTCTGTAGATTTGTGGTAGACAGACGTGTGCTACTTGGCTATGGAAGGGAAGGAATTGATCCCCAAAGAATTTTTAGGTGTCCTTTTGTCTGGCTGGAAACTTCTCGTGGCTGTTGTCATTGCATCCACTCAGCAAGATGACACAGATTTTTAAACTAGATCAGATCTCTACTTTATCGATAGAACTACAATTTGGAAAAAAAAAAAAGTATCTTCTCTGATTGGGTGGATGAAAAAAACAAAACAAAACAGAGTTTTCATTTCTGGCATCCAAATGGGTAAATTTATAATGAAACCAAGTGATTTCTTTTTGCCTCAAACCTAGAATTCCATAGGCACTTAAAACATAGTCCCGTATATCATGCTTAAACATAGACTTCTGTTTTGAGAATTGGAAAAGCATTGCTTTCTAACATTGTGGATTCCCTTTTCTTAGACTAAACCTGCTCAATGCAGATATCTTTTACTGTCAAAATTAAAAGCAGAGCTGTGCATGTTTCACTGGCTGGAACATATGTACACGTCAACCATGCATTCTCAGTGTGTGCTGTTTTCCTGCCTTTCCCATGTTTCTTTGTTTTTCTTTTGTTTTCTTTTCAAGACTTCCCAGGGTTTTTGTTTTATCATATTGTTCTCTTTGTATTGTTCAGCTGCTCTTTGACAAAAGTTCCACATTTAATCTAATTTTCTTGTTTTTGTTTAATTTCCCCACAGCTTTACATTTCACCCCCCCACCCCTTTTTCTTCTTCCTCTGCTGGGACATGGTGCTTATTTGTGAAAACACAATTCCAAAAGTCAGACTAGTGCTATATGGACAAACTTTTCTATTGAGAGTCTTTAGCTTTTAATATTTTGGCTTTTGACATCTTTATTCTGTCAACCATTACTGGCCATTTTGAATCATCTTTTCATCTGTTGAACTGCCTTTGCTATGACTAATATCCTTCTTTTTCATTCTTCTCTCGGCATCTTCATTTCCCAGGCACCTCGTTATTACTAAAATGTGACCCCCATTTAGTCAACACTTAGTACAAGCCCTGTGTGCATTGCTTCATACATATTCCTTTGAACTCTTGCTAGAACCCTGAAATGTAGACATTCTCATCCCCATCCAGTACTGGGCCTGATGAAAGGTATCGCCTTCCGGCAACACAGTAACTGTGATAGCAAGTATTTGTTCCCAGAACTATTACACACCAAATCACCTTCTCTTTCAACTAAATCATACTGAAGCAAAACATCAAAAGTATGTTTTGAAATTCTGTTACAGATAGGGGAAAATACACTCACTTGTGAAACTTCATAAGTATATACTCACTTCATTATTTGTATGTACTTCTACCTGAAATGAATACATAGAAATTACTCCTTATGTCTTCTTTTTAACAGCATTAACATTAGTTTTACAAAACTAAATTTAGCAAAATTTAATTGCTTTAATTGATTTAAAGAAAGAAATTCTAAACTCAAGTTATTGTCTTTAACAACATTTTTAACTAAAACTAGGTCCAAATTTTCTTTGTACATAAACCAATTTACTAAAACGTGGTTGTAAATGTAAACAAATTGTGATGGCAAGTTCCTGTTAGTAAAATAACCAGGGAATGGTGATTCTAGAAGCATGAAGAGATCATGTTGTTGGCAAGCCCATAGAGTGATATTAGGCTTTCCAGTAATGACATCAGTGATCAAATATGTTTTTACAGTTGTCAAAGTAGTGGATCAGACATTTAATCCTGGCCTGCTTGCAGCTGCTTTTCTTCATCCTTCCCTCCCTGTATTACATTTGCCTTTGGAGAATAAAAATATTATGTGTTCCTTTATGTTCCTCATTCAGATTTAGAAACTCTCATACTTTCTACTATGATGATGACATGCAGGTGTCATTCTCTAAACAGGTCAGTTTGCAAGTTCCATAAACCCATTGTTTAATCATTACCACCTCCTTCATCTTATTCTTGCAATAATCCATGCACACACAGACATACACACACACGCACATGCACACATATTTACTTTTAATAAGCAGACACTTATATTTGATATTCCATTAGAAGCCTCTAAAATTGATCCAGAAGTTACATTTCTAGACTTTGGGCAAGAGCTTAACAAAATTCTCTTTGATGGACTGCAGTTGTGAAAGCTGTTCTTGTACTAAGCTGCAATTAATGTTTGTACCCAGTGTCTCCTAAGGAATTGCAGAAAGAACAAAGTTAGCAACTAGCAGACCCCAAATAGCTAGAGGGCTTTGACCACAAGGATAGGATAACAGTAATGCAGTGAGTAAGAAGAAAGACTGGGTAGTAAGGGAAATCTGACTTTGAATTTCAGTTCTATCTTTGCTACCTTTGCAGTTTAGGCAAGTCACTTTCTGAACCTCAGTTTCTTAATCTGTAAAATGGGGATAATAATGCCCACCTCCAAAAGCTACCAGAAAAACTGGAGTACCTGGATGGTTCCGTCAGTTAAACATCTGACTCTTGATCTCAGCTCAGGTCTTGGTCTTAGGATCATGAGTTCAAGCCCTGAAGTGGGCTCCATACTGGGCATGGAGCCTACTTATAAAAACAAAAACACGGAGGGCATTGGGAGATGGAGAGAAGTGAGTTGGTGGAAATCGAAGTGGGGAGACAAACCATGAGAGACTGAAGACAATATGGACTCTGAGAGAAAAAGTGAGGGTTTTGGAGGGGAGGGGTTTAGGGATATGGGTGAGTCTGGTGATGGGTATTATGGAGGGCATGTATTGCTTGGAGCACTGGATGTGGTGCATAAACAATGAACCTTGGAACACTGAAAAAAAATTAAATTTAATTTTAAAAAAAGATACAGAAAAAAACAAAAAACAAAATACTTTATTACATAACACACAGAATATTCAGGACAGAATTTGGTATTTCATAATACCAGTATAACAGACCGCTGACAGCATCATGGTCATTTTCACTTTAATCATCACAATGCAGTCACTAAAAATTGACTTCTCTTTCCTTCTTCCTTCTGGCACTATGTCCTGAGCCATAGAGTGCTTTATTAAACTAATGAGTGACATTCCAGGCCAGCTCTTCCACATACAATATTACAGCACTTGAAATGAAAGCCTACTGCCAAGTATTTAAGAGTCTAATCCATACAATGGTTCCTACCTTGCAATATCAACTTCCCTAAATAAATACCAAATAAATATCAAATAAATAAATAAATAAATATCAAATAAATAAATAAATATCAACTTCCCTATATAAAAATTTCCAAGGCTAACCACCATGCCTGGCAAGTAGAAGAGATTCTGTAAGTTACTGTTAAAAGGAATTGAACTGAACCTATCTATCTTATCTGCCTTAGGCAAAACACGAATTCATTAAGGGTATGCTTTCGTCATTCATTCGCACATAATGTTTGCCTTCATTCATTCGGTAAAGTCCTTGTTACATGTCTACATGTCTAATGGTGCTGCTTCCAAACTAATCCACACAAGGGCGGGAGCTATTTCTTTCTTGTATATAACTGTGTCCTCAATAGGTAGCACCATGCCTACCATCTGAGAGGGGCTCAAGAAATATTTGCTGGATCAATTAAATTCCATTTTTGGATGGATTCCTTTCAGGGTACACAGAAACAGCCTGGAGAACGGCATGATGAAAACAAACACAACAAACAATGTAGTGGTAATAAGACCCGTCTTTCATATTGCTTGCCAGGCTAAGTGTCATCAAATCTTAAAAGTTTGCTTGCAGCTTTCACTACTGTGAGCCAGTATGTTTTCGGCTGGGTCTGTCAGAGATTTTCTAACAACAGTTGCCCGATCAGCAGTTTTCCCTTGAAATAAAAAGGAAGAATGAATAAAAGTTGACAGCTACAAGGAACAGTAATAAATATACAACCCTGGGATTATATAAAGATTGGAAAATCTAATTATTGGCAGAAGGGGAGGTCTAGGTGTGGTAGCTTTATTGGGAGATCCTTCTGTAAGAATGAAGTAATATATTTTGATGGGAATCATAGGACTTAATTGCTTAGAGGCCTTAGAAATCGGAGCACCACTTTAATTTTTACAGATGGAAAAGTAAGATCCAAAAGAGGTTCAAAGACAAACCCAAGGTACTTGGAGCCAGAACTAGTTCCTGGTCGCTGATGTTTAAGAAAATGAATATCTCACCACTGTATCACAGGACCTTTCAAATATAAATGCTAACATGGGTATTTCCATGAATAGACACATTTTAAATTATCTATAAAACATCAAAAATCTAACCAAAAGCAGAAAATGTGCAATAAAATACTCAACATGCAGTTGGTGTTGTTTTCTATTAAAAAGGTTTAAAAATAATAGAAACATCAGTTGTTTAAGCATAATGTACTTCTATTCAATTGATCCCCTAAATCCAGATTAAGACCAGAGTAGGTTCCAACAGGCTTGCCTTTTTTTCCTCCCAGCCATTCATATTGTATTTTAAATTCATGTTAGCAACTGCCTATACAAACCAGGGAGGAAAAGGAGGGAGTAGGGTTAGGGGTGGTGTTGAACAAGTTTCTGAATGTAAGTTTGCAATTTAATCTCAGAAGATGAGACTTTTGAAGGGTTCTTATATCAAGAACATCACACAAAGTTATTCGCAAGTCACAACTTGGAAATATTTTTTAAAATTTTTATAATTCCAAAATTGCAACTAACTCTTTACAAATAATCATTCAAACAGCCACAAGAAAATGACAATGAATTCTATAGCAGATTTG